GGTTATGGGACCGGAACCGGGACCGGATGGCTTAACCGGTTACCGGTAAGCTTGACCGGTTATGGAGGATTTCATCGGAACCGGGACCGGTTATGGAGGGACCGGTTATGAAACGTTTTTGTCTTGATCGGGACCGGCCGTAACCGGTTATGGCCCGGCCCGGGACCGATTTTTGGCTACCTCTACTCTAGATTACAAAAAATACCTCATTTTTTTAGAGAGGTGCCTCTCTAAAAATCGTCCTTTTGCAAGTTGCTCATAGGTTGACACATTTCCGACAAGAAGTGCATCGGCTGACAACTTTTTAAAATCACTCTAACTCTCTAAAAAGTGCATTTTTGCGAGTTCTTCATAGTGTGGCACGTGTCATTGAAAAGTGCATTTTTGTCTTTATCAGATGACAACATTCTAAAAAGTATTGTAGCTCATACAACCCTAGGATTTTGCGAGTTCATTTTTTTAGATTTTGCGTTACTTGTAAATTTGATATAAGATTAAAAAAAATAGAAGCATGAAATTGATTGGTCACTTTAAAAAATCTGTAAAGCTTCTCCTAATGAGTGTTTATTTCTTAAAATATGTATAGATTCTCTTTCGTAGGAACCAACAATGGTAGTGGATCTCATCATTGCCTTGTTCGGCAAGAAAAATCTGCTTCTGTAGCATCAGGTGAACCAGGAGCGGATCTCCGTGGGAGACGTCATATATCAACCAGGGACCAAAAACAGTGGTCCGAAACATGTTTCACCTGGCCTCGGATAACATAGGCTTCTCCGCAATCTTGCCAAAATGGTAATCCTCGCCTTAAGTGTAAGGTAAGCCTCATAGTACCTAGGACCCTGATAACATACTACGGTATAATATTAAACAAGTAAAATGAATGAACCAAAAAACAGTTAAACTAGAGAATAATTACAACAATGAACTATTATATCATTTTCAATTCTATATAAAAGAGAACTCTTATTTAGAGAGTTATGTATGCAACATAAAATAGAACCGCAGTTCAATATATGAACATGTATAATATATTGAGCGAAAAACAAAGAAAAACATAGTAAACGCTAATAAATACAACTTGCAAAATAAGAAGTTCTTATTTGCGAGTTCTATATTATACTCAATGAGTCATCAAACTCAAACATGTTAAATTCTTGTACAAGTTGTGAGATGAAAGAACAAACAAATCACAGATTAAACTAAAAAAGACAACTCATGAAGTAAAAACTTATTTTGCGAGTTCCATGTTTAACTCCAAAGGTCACCAAATTCAGATATGTTATTCCCGTACAAGTTGTGAGATGAAAGAACAAAAAACAAATATCAAACTGAAAAATACAGCTTGCAAAATAATTAATTTTTATTTTGCGAATTGTAAAATTAAGTCAAAAGTCACCAAATTCAAATATGTTATTCATGTACAAGTTCTGAGATAAAAGAACACAAGAAACAAGTAAAAACTCCAACTTACAAAATAAGTAACTCTTATTTTGCAAGTTGTAATCTTTCATCCAAACATGTTCAAACTTTAAATATTAACAGATCTATTAATACTGAGATGAAATATGTAAATAAAATACAGAAAACAACAATATTCAGAACTTGCAAAATGAGAGTGCGATACAAAAACGTTTTTTAAATGTATTTAATCAGGACAGATTAGATGTAATCTGACCTGGTTTTTGAATTCAAGAGAGCTCTAGAATTTAGATGGAGGAGAAATGTTTTATTCATCAAGTGACCATCCAGATGTTTCATATAAAATTTCAAAGTAAAAAAGCCCAAAAGATGACGAACCAAACATTAAAAATCCAAACGAAAATGAGAAAACTAATAAAAAAAAAGACAATAATGCCTTAAATAATGTAAAAATGGTGTTTTATGGGCTTGGAAATCCTATAGGCTCCTTTCATGGCGTGCTCTTCTTTTTTAGCTTCGATTCGAGCGTATCATGGAATTAAACATAGAGTTATTCCTATCTTTTTGAAGGTCCTGTTATATATTGGACAATAAATTGACTAATAAATAAAATATAAAAGTTCATACCATATATTGTACTAGATGTCTTACAAAATAAAAGAACAAAAATTGTTTAAAATGACAAAATAACATGTGAAACTTAAACAAGATCATTCTTCTAAAAGATTTTGAAACCAAATCTTCATAATCAACGTTTTCCAATAATCCACTTTTAATAGCTATCAAGGCAAGTCCGTTAAGTATTTCTTGTGTCATTGTGGAGCGCAAATACGACTTCAACAGCTTCAACTTCAAGAAACTTATTACTGCAGATGCAACTGTTACATGAATAGTCAACAAAACTCTATAAGTAATAATGTGTTAGGAAAACATCCAACATGTCTCAAATACTCTAAAATATCAACAAACCCCATCTTTTTGGTAAATAATCTTGAAGTAACTTCAATTCCACATATAAATCGTTTCCATCAACATCAGATTGGTCGTGTTTCTTTAGTGTGATTTCAAAATTAGTACAAGAAGACTTCAAACACGCATTATTTAAAGAATGCAACTTATCAAAAGTAAATAAAAACCCAAACACACCTTCACATTCTTGGTATTGTTCAAATATCCTATTTAGTGAAGCAATTGCATGATCAACAACAAATAAGAAATAATTAACTTTAAATGACTCATTTCCAGATTGTCAAGTAATTTCAGATGCATCACTCGGATTATCATCAAAATATCGTTTTCTTCGAATTTTACGTCTTTGAGGAAATAATGGATCAATTGTCAATTCAGTGGCAATTTTCTTTGTTGATTCTATAGCATCTAAAAACCCGATTTTTCTATATCCCTCAAAAAATGAAATCCCCTTAACTTGTTCAATAGCAACATCAATTAGCAAAAAAAAATTACTATAAGTGCTTACTAACCAAATTTACGGCATATAATACTTCATACCAAACCACTATTGACATTAAAAACTCAAAATCACCAAGCTCATTTTTCGCTAAAGATTTTGCTTTATTTCATATTTTTGAGTCGTTATCAATTTCAGCTACTTGAAGTAAGCTTCTCTTATATCTAAAACTTGAAATCTTATAACTTTTACACTATCAATACGACTCTCTCAACGGGTCATTGACAATAATTTGAATATCCATCCTTTTACCTTATCTTTTAACACTTGCCATCGTGCATCAATATTAGTAGCAAAATCCACATTGGAGTCAATTTGATTTCCAACTAAATTCTCCAAATTAGGATTGTCATAACAAGCATCAACATGTTGATCATCAAGAGAACATTATGATTCTTTAGTGATATATTTTTCAAAAGATCCTCTTTCAGACATTATTATCTCTTCAATTCTTTTTTTTATTTGTATGTTTTTGGCATCCAGAATCATACTTTTTAACCCTAGAAGACATAATGAGACTGAAATAAGTAAAATACAATAAATGAACAAAACAACATGGCTTGAGGATTGAGGATGATATTGATTATTGTCTTCTTGGTTCTCCCAAGTTCCAAAGTCCCAAAGCTTTTGACTACACTGCAAAATCAAGTAAACAATATGAATTTTTGATTCGTGAAACTAAAGACTAAAGTCCTATACAGTAAACAGTATGTTAATTTTGATTTCCTAAATCCTAACCTAAACAATATGAATATAAACATAAGTTACATGATCTGAGTAAGGTATTTTCTAAATCAATGAACCTAAACAAGTAAATATCAAAATCTAATTTACACATAAACAACTCTTGTTTATGAGAAGACACAAAAAAACCTATTTTAAATTACTAGAAATGGAATTACCTGTCATTGTTCAAATCTGAAATCAAGAACCAAACGGTCCAAATCTGAAATGTGTTGGCAGTTGTATCAAGAAGTAAGACTGCAAGAACCAAGTGTCGGAACTCCAAATCAGTTGTTGAGTGTTAAGAACCAACGAATGAAACCTTAGATGTTTGGATGTGATGTGATGTCATGTTCATTCCCACTTGGTTTGGGGCGATTTGGGGAGTTTTTAAGGGATTGTTTTTGGGAGCTTTTTGAAGCAAAATGGAAGGTGTAGCATGGGGATTAAAGATCTTTCGGTGGAGAGTTCATATTCTTGGTGAGGTAAGTTTTGGGTGTTTTGATCTCCATTTTAGAAATCTTTGTGGATCTAAAATTTAATTGTGTTCATATTTGGTTTATTTATAAGTTTGGTTGTGACCTAGCTAGATAAGGTTTCTAAATATATTTGCTTGTGGATCTCAAATCTTTATCCTTGGAAGTTATAAATGGGTTTGGAAAATATGTTCTGTCAAAACTTTGTGGACGTCAAAAATGTCAATTTTGGAGTCTTAAGGTGTTTTTTTATATGTATCAAATATGATAAGACTTACATCTTTGGTACATTTGATTGTATAAATTTTGTAAAATACTTATATTTCGGGGTTTTGGACATTTTGAGATATGAAACATAAAAGTGTGATCTTTTGATAATGTATTGCATAAATGAAGATTATTTGATGTTAATATACTTTTAGGTGTTGTTTGGTTTTTAAGAGTTGTTGAAATCTAAAGTCTTATTTCACTTCTGATTAATAAGAGGTGGTGTTGAAGTCTGAAATCTGAATCAATAAGACTGTTTGTTTTTTGTAAATTGTGATGCTGAAGTCTAAAATCTGAATCAATAAGACTATTTGTTTTTGTAAATTGACAAACGTCTGAAGTCTTAAATCTGAATCAATAGTTTGTTTTTGTAAAATCAGATTTAAACATTTTGCAAAATTCTCTTGATTTTCATAAAATTTCCATTGCGAAATTCATCTCAACAATTGCTTAACAGCTGGAACACAATAAGAACCTTTTGGATACCTTTCAGACTTCCAATGTTATCGGGAATGTTATCGGTGAGTTTGTTTGTGAAAAGATCGATACTTTTGATAGATGATCGATAACCGATAGAAGTTCTTGTTTCACATTAATCTTCTATGTTAGCCTATACGTATATATATATATATAGAGAGAAAGAGAGAGAGAGAGAGAGAGAAAGAGGGGAGTTATTATGCAACCTTTTTACATTTGTACAACCACTACAACTCAATCTCAATCGTCCATTTAATTTGATGAATATGTGATTTCATAAAAGTTTTGATTGTTTCATAATATAAAGTATTGATCATAATTAATGAACTCTAGTCATCTTCCATAAATATTCAAATCATAATAAATAAACTCTCATCATTTCATAAGTATCTCAATTGATTGGGTTGCATTGGTTTTACAAATGTGATAGGTTGCATTTGAAACGTTCTCTCTCTATATATACATATATATATAGAGAGAGAGAGAGAGAGAGAGAGATCTAGAGAGAGAGAAGGTGAGCGTGCATTTCATATAGGTGATGAAAGGACGGTGGCATCCTTGTTGGAGAAAGAAGTAATAGGCTAAGAGAATCAAAGAAAATAAGAAATAAGAGGAATTAAGATATTAGTTTACATCTTATTTATTCAGTCCATATTAAGTGATAAGAAGCTCTGAAAATTTAAAAAAAAAACAGTTTGAATTACAAAACGTTTGAACGAATCAGACATAAATGATAATTAAGAGTTGAAAATGAAAAAACAAAGAAAGCCTTAGTGTATTTGGATTTATAAACCATTTGGAAAATGCATATTATTGTGTTACAAGACATTTTGGAAATATAAATGGTATTATTTTATTTGGAATATGATTTGTACCAACCAATGAAGAGTTTTGAATTAATCATACTTTTGGAGGATGAGCTTGCCTATTTTTATAAGCAAATGCATTCTATTGACTTATATTGGCTTTTGTTGAGTAGTCAAATAAGTTTTGGAATTTATTGATTTGATTTTGGTCCAACAGAAATTGGGGACTGTCTTATTTAAATTACTCAATATTGAGCTTTGGACATGAATTACATGTATTGCATATTTATTGGGATTGCATGTTTTGAGTACGTTGGTCATTTGAATTCATGTAACTTAGATTGCAATGCATTAGATCCATTGGCATATGAGTCAGTCATGTTTGATAAGTGAGCAGTCTTGATGTTCTCAGTTTGTCACCAATGCTCAAGTAAGCATCGTGGACTTCTCCGTGTTGCATAGTTGAACACTTATGAGTTAGACTCCAAGAGTGTAGGTATTGTGGTTTTGATGCTTTAACCTTGATGTATGAGGGTTAAATGTCATGTGTTGTCAAGTAGGAGGTTTGAGATTCTTATCTTGAATGCTAGTGAGCAGACACTAAAGGTCGAATGGGAATCTTGAGATTAGAACTCAACTACGAAATGTATGGGCACACTAAGACTAAATATTCTTGAGGTGGCACTTGGAGAAGTGGGCACTAACTATATCGTGGCCGAGAGGCGAAAATCGAAGGAGTAGACAATAAAGGTATTGAGGACTTGAGAAAATACTTGTTATAGTAGGGAAATCTTGAATTAAATTAATTGAAAATTTGAAATTAATAATTAAAATTTTAAATTGAAATTGAAATTAATATAATTAATAATTAATAATACTAATAATTATAATTAATTAATGATTCATAACTAGTTATTTATTAATAATTAATAATAATAAATGACCATTAATATTAATTAGGGTTATAATTCGAAAAATTGTCACAGCTCCTAAAACATTACCCCACTAGCATTTTAATAAGCTAGTTTATATCAATCAAAACGTGTATTAAAAAAATAAGTTAGATGATGTACTACCTTTAATGCCTTAACCAAAAAAACATATATGGATTTCTCATCCTTGAAATCGAAAACTTTTTTACATATTTTCTAGGCACTCCCTAGATAAAGAAAATTGGCTCGGCCCCTGTTCTTGTACTCTTGGAATCCTCCAACAAGCATGCTGCATGCATGGTGTTATATATGTCATGGTACTCACTATTTATAATGTCATTGCAATTAATATGTTCTCATCGCGTCATCGTTAAGAGGATATTTATTCAGACTTTTCTACAAATTGGTTGCTTATGAAAATCAAGTTTCACATGTTCCCTCGTGCTTTGAATCGTTGGCTATATTTGCCCTCTTGTGCCTGTAAGAACAGTTGACAGTACTATAATCCAACTCATTGCAATAATCTGAAAACATGCCAAGAACACATCAGAACAAAAACCCCCGAAGCCCACCTGATCAAATAGATCATTAAATATATGGACGGTTCACGAGGCTGGCTAGCTAAACGAGCATTACGAATCAAAGAACATTAGAACCGCCATGATTAACTTAATGGATTTATGGATTTGGATGCACTCCTGACCTTCTTCTGACGTTTATGCACACATTACCTGAATATAATTAAAAATTCTTTCAAATTATATTACTTTATACACCACACATGGAGGAAATATAGAAGCGCTTTCTGCCAGTGACTTCAAATGAGAAGGCCATTAATTTGAGAGAAGAAAAGAATTAGTTGCAAGTCATATTTGTCTTGAACGGCCATAGAGCGGGCGTTTTCCTCCACGACCTTGGTCGTGTTGACCAAGTCCCCCGCATCACCTCTGGACGTGTTGTATCGCATGTGATTTTACATTGTAATTACATGTGATTTTGAAACCTCTCCTTCTCTCTCTATATATAACTGAATTACTAATAGTTAACAAAAGGTAAACTTTTTACTGCAATTTGAACGGCAAAAACAATCAAGGATCCATTCACACAATAATGATAAAAGAGAAGAAGCATCTCACAGATGTTGAACAGATTAATTAAAGCTTCCAAATAGAACTGCACAACACTTGATGCAATTTTCGCTTACAATACAACGAATCATTCTTAGGTGGAATATTATCTTGTTAACATGAAGGCCATGAGACTTCATTATTTCTTAATTAATTCCAATCTTATTAACCAGAATGCCCCGTGATCAAGCCTCTATAATTTTCTTAACTTCTCTTGGAATTAAATATTAATAAGAAAAAAAGCTACGACCTTCAAATAATTCGTTGTCTTATATCTATAAATACCATCGGGCAACTTCATCAATTCTACACCACAAAACTAGCTACTACTCCTTGAACCTTTAAGTACTCTAGCTAGTTACTACTTGATATCCCAAAAGCACTTAAAAATGGCTTCCGCCAGGGCTTTGGGAACAACTGCTTTTCTCCTCACTCTCAACCTTCTCTTTTTTACTTTGGTAAGTGCAACCTCATCTTCACCAAAGGCCACTTGCCCTAGAGATGCTCTCAAGTTGGGTGTGTGTGCCAACTTGCTGAATGACTTGGTGCATGGCGTCGTTGTAGGAGCCCCACCGAAAACACCTTGTTGTTCCCTCATTGAGAACCTTGTTGACCTCGAGGTAGCAGTCTGCCTTTGTACCGCCATTAAAGCTAATGTGTTGGGTATTAACCTCAATGTTCCAGTATCCTTGAGCTTGTTGGTTAACTACTGTGAAAAGGACGTTCCTTCCGGCTTCCAATGTGCATAGAAAGTAAAGCATTCCATTTTCAAGTGTATTTTCGTTTCTTTGATCATGTCATCTTTGCTCTACTTTGGGTGTGTTAAGTTTGCATTCATGGTGTCTCGTTAAATGTTTATTTGAAGTGAAAGGCTCCCCAATATTGCTTGTACCGTGTCATTTCTTGTGTACAATTGTAATTTTAGATCCTGTCATAATTAATATGACTGAGATTATTTATATGTATTCAAAATTTATGTCATCAATATACTTTAGTTGGTGTCCAGCCTCTCTCCTAACGTCATAGAATTTAGAAACTCCAAGGATGATTCTGGAAAAAGCAAAACAGAAGAAATTATTTTAAGTTATGGTCCAATGTGTGAAATTAAGTGTTCAAAGATGCTTCCAATTTGTAATATATTTATTTAATTGGACTGCAAGATATAATATTATCACATTATTTCAGAATTAAAAGTAGTTAGTATCTCTTTTGCTTGTATTTTCTGGTGGCCATAGCCATAGTAATCATCCTTTCTTGTATCATATCCGTTTACAAATGTAATATTATAAAGGAATCATTTGTTGTGGATGATTAAGTATATATTAGACATGCTATATATTTTTATAATGAAATGATATCAGCTCAAGCTTAAGTGTATATATCCTTGGGAATATATATATATATATATATATATATATACTAGAAGCGTACTCGCACAATGCAGCGAGATACATCATGATTTTAATATTTCATTTTATTTCTTATCTCAGTCGATGTTAT